TTGTATTAATTTCGTAATTTGAAATAAACTATAATATTAAATTAAATTATGCTACTAACATGTACATTAAACAAATACCCACTTAATTTAATAGGTATTGGTATATATAATTTAATTTGAAACCAAATAATATGTACATGTTATCATTTTGATAACGCTCAATTGAATGAAAATAATATTCTCAACAAATTTCATTCAATTACAGAAATTGTTAATGCTCGTTTATATAAAAGAAATTTCAGTGAGTGTACAATATATAACATACATTATGATACATTGTAAATACAGTAGAGTTAAGAAGTTTACGAATATAACTCTGTTTATTATAAATAACATGATATTCGTAATAAATGAAAATTCTACTCCAATTGTTCAATGGAAATCAAATTATAGATCACCAAATAATTGATTTGAACCCTATAAAAAAGGAATCGTGATTTAAGATGATTTCGAATTTAAATTACATATTTTCAAAGTGTTCCATTTAATTTTGACTTATTGTTTTTAATTTCTGCCACGTTTCTAATTCATTTTAAGTGATGAATTGCCCTGCTTTCTGAAATTTTAGATTTTTAACAGCTTTTAGATATTAAGAAGTTAACTCCGTAAGAACATCTTTTCTTTATCATCTCAACTTCAGAGTTCACAAGTCTGGGTTTAATTCTAATTTTATTTATGAAGTACTCAAGAAGGCACCAAAAACCAAATCTTTTAAAAATTTTTCAACTTAAAACGTCTTTTTCCAAATAAAATTCTTATGCATGAAAACTTCTTTAGTTTACTGTACTTTAAAACCATTGCAACGTTTTTGGATTTTATATTTTGAAATAAAAATCCTTGAGATTTAAAATTATTATATTAGAGGAAATAAGGATCAATTATATTTATGTAGCCAATATTTCAATCTAAAACAGAGGTAGCAAAAAGAAAAGAAAAAAAAATTAGCAAAAAAATCTGAACATTTATTTTAAAGCTTTATAATTTTTTGGGGATTACATCCGGTAAACACCACACAAATTTTCTAAAAGAAAATAAAAATATTTCCTACCTTATATTCTAACTAATTTGCCAATAACATTTTCAATTTCAAATTATTCCTTCCTTTCCAAATTTCTTTATTATTAGCAAAAATAATGATGAAAAAAAATTATGATTTCTTTACTGCAGGACAAAAAATAGAAAAACTAATGAGGACACTGTAAAAATTGAAAAGAAAATGTCGACAGACGACACTAAAAAAATGACAAAATTTATTTTATATTTTAACCCTTTTGTCATGTATATAAAAATATATTATTAAAATACCAGTTTTAAACACTTGAAAAGCAATTCAAGATCTCACTTGGGGAGCTCGAATCGGTCATTTTATGAAAAAGTACCACCTATTTATTTAACTAACATGAGATTACTGAAAAACATTCTTTACATTTTATAATTTTTCTTATAAACCTTATATAGAACTACGTTAAATACAGAATTTTATACTAGGGTAGTTACAGAATTATAAATACTAAGAAGATCTCAATTATTTGATGATCCCAAATATTTTTTTTAGATTACAAATTTTAAATGGAACCATTTGGGTAAATTTTATAAAAATGACATGATTATGTTAACATGATTCTGCAAATGTTCAAATCATTTAAAGATCCTGATAACAAATTTTTATTAATTATATTTCGTTTAAGCGTTTGAAATAGGTATACATTCCACTAAACTTTGATTGGCTCTATCTAGTAATTCAAATAACGCATTAAAACTTTAGGCCACCTTGATTTGAAACCGTGTTTAAAAGATTTGAATCCGCTTTCGAAAACTGAACATCAAATAAAAACGGATAACTAAATTAAAAACCCACAAATTAATTGTTGTTTTACAATTTGGGGGAATCGTAAAGGGTTAATTTTTTTTTCTTATTCAAAATATTTTGAAATTTTTATAATATGCATGATATAGGCATTAAAGTAAAATAAGAGAATTCCGAATCAAAATTTGGATTTAAAATAATAGAGTCCTATTTATAGTATGAAGGATATTTTTAAGATTTTTATTTTTTGCTTGAATATCTTTATAATCTGTGGAAGTTCTTTTAAAATATGACGAAGAAAAGCAAAAAAAAAAAACCAGAAAAATGAATGCTCCTTCAGTATTATGTTTATCGAGTGCAGCATATCCTGAATGTGATTGAAAAAGATTAGAGTTTTTTTCCTTTTTGTTTTTCCTGTCTTTTCAAATTTTTTTTTTTTTGAAGTATTTTAGTAATTTTTTTTTATTTTTGTTTGATTCGTTCGATTTTATATGTAATATGTACCTATGCTTAAAATATATACATATATATAACATATATTTTGATTTTTTCTTTGTTGTATTGCATATAAGTATGTACAGAGGTTTTTATTTTAAGGATTGCTAGAAAAAAAAAATTTCACATTTGTTCTGAATGCCTGCCGGAAAAATATTTAGGTTCATTTTGTTTTTTTATTTTTATTGGATTGGGTTTGGATTGTTTTATACCTATATACATACATAAATAGGAGGACAATATTTTCTTTGTTTACTCATACATTGTGTAATGACTCAATTCTAGTATCGGTCGGAATGTAAACATTACAAATATACAAACAATTTTCTCTATATACAAAACATAAACACTAAGAAAATGGAAAAGCAAAAAATAAACCAGAACATTAAATTATAAAAATATTTTTTTTTTCGTTTTTGTGTTACAAGCTTAGAAATTTGATTAAAAGAACTTTTTTTTATATACATTTTATTCAATTGTTTTTATCGACAACAAGGATCTAGATTTGATTATTGACATATTGTTAATGGATTTAAATATATTAAAATTATTCTCTGCAAATATACCGACAAATATAAGGCACGGAATTAATGGTTAATTCACAATTATTTTACAAAATAAAGATGAACTCAAGCTGGTTTTTTTGAAAATTTTTGTAATAATTTTGATATACATTTAATAAATATTAAAAAAAAACGGAAACATTTAGAACTAACACAAACGAAAAATTCATTTAAGAATTAAAATAGTTTTACTAGAAAAATTTAAAGTTTGGATTATAAATTCTATTCTTATTCAGCTAAAATTATTGAATGTAAATCAAAATATTTTAATAATTTTAGAATTTTTTAAAGTTTTTTTCCAGAAATATGATTTCCTGACCTTATATAATGAAATCACTGGCCTCCATTTAATCAATAATGAGAGCATAACTATATTGGTTAATTTAATTAAAAATACATTTAGTGTAAAATCTTCAACATTAGTTAAGAAAAAATATTTATCATATTATATTAAACATTAATTTAGAAAAAAAAACCTAATTATTTAAGCATTTGTTCTCTAATATTAAACAGATAAATTGAAATTAAGGATTACTTATTCGAACATTCCACGCAACTACACGTACATTATGCCTAGATTGACCTTCACTCGGGAAAGTAAATCGACAACAAAAAATGTTGTTTATAAAGAAACTGATTTTATTTAAACTAACACTTCAACATAATGAACGAAATTTAACCAGAATCCTTAAAAATTTAATTTTATTTACCATATAAGAAACGAATCAATTAGAGTATTTGTTTTCTCTTACCATCTCTTATCGCGATTTTAAAGATCCTGCGTAGGATTTGTATTGTTTTCCTATTATCTTTTCTAATTTTTATTCTTTCTTCTTTTGCTTTTTCGTTTCTGTAATCTGTTATTTTGTTAAAATCATCATTTTTATAAAATATACTGGATAACATATAGACTGGGTAATATAAAATGAATTCTATTTAACAAACAAAATGAATTTTATACATTAAAAATCGCCTTCGGATGCATATAAACGGGTACTTTGTATGTAATTATACATACATACTATATATGTACGTATATTGTAATGTTGTACAGATGTTGGAACAAATTCTGAAAGAAAAACGAGAGGATTTATTTTTATTTTTAGAACGGAAAGGATTTTATCATATTATAATCAATGCTATAATGCTTAATATTGTATACATATGATATGTGTATGTAAATATATGAAAATAATGTGTATAAATATTTTAAAATTAATATTTTCGTAATTGATCCTAACGATAACAGAATACGGATAGCCATAAGGAGGTAGTTAAAAGAAAAATTCTAAAAATACCTGCAAAAATTCATTCAAACAAACATACACATGTTATTTACATAATATACATATATGATGGCCTTCCTGCTATATGAAAAAGATATTCTATTTTTTTTACAAACATACTTATATAATATGTAAATATAATATATTCTGTTTAATAAGAAGCCAAATAAAAATCCTTTTACTTTTAATGCATTCTAAATAATGTATGTATATAAATAGCTTTAAGACTAATTTTTTCGAAAATTTACAATAATGTAAATTGTATAACAATAATATAGGGTTACAATTATGTAATCCTGAATTTCCTTGGAAATTAAATAATTTAAATGAAAATAAAATTGTTTTATATCATATAATGTGGAAAAATTTATATCTTCTTATTAAATTGCAACTACATACATTCTAATAAATTCCACCGAATGACATTATGTTGCCCACGTATTCTCCTTTCTTACTTTTTTATATAATTATTTTATGTAAATAAAATCAACCTAATATTTTGGACAATTGTATGTATGTTGTAATGTAGATTAATATATCAGTGATTAATAGGTAGAAAAATTAATATATAGTATAAACTCTGTAAGCTGGTTCTTCCTTAATGCTCGTTGTTCTTATAAACGCCGTTTTGATTGTATGATGCTGCGATTTTTTCCCATATTTTTCAAATAATAAGTCATTTAGATGCATATTTTTAATTTATAATGAAACAACAATAAATAGATATGCACACATCCAATATGTCATAAAATTTACAAGAGCATTGTTTTCTTTTTAACAATCTTAAATTTTTAATATTATTGTAATGATTTTTTAATAATGACATTTCTTTTTTTTTAATAATTTCAGCTGGCGGCCTAAAATATACTGACAATCAACGAGTTATTATACATGTTAAAGATGTTAACGATGAACCTCCATATTTTATTAATAGACCATTACCAATGCAAGCTGTTGTACAATTAAATGCACCACCAAATACTCCAGTATTTACGTTACAAGCACGTGATCCAGATACTGATCATAATATACATTATTTTATTGTACGTGATCGTACTGGTGGTAGATTTGAAGTTGATGAAAGATCTGGTGTGGTGAGAACTCGTGGTACCGACCTCTTCCAACTTGATATGGAATATGTATTATATGTTAAAGCTGAGGATCAAAATGGTAAAGTTGATGATCGTCGGTTCCAGAGTACACCAGAAGAACGTTTATCAATTGTTGGTGGTAAACGTGCACCACAATTTTATATGCCAAGCTATGAAGCTGAAATACCTGAAAATCAAAAGAAAGATTCAGAGTAAGTTGAAAAATACAATTATAAAAGTTTTTTTTAATTAATTGATTAATTTTTTTTCTTTTTTTCAGTATAATCTCTGTGAAAGCCAAATCTTTTGCTGATCGTGAAATTCGTTATACATTAAAAGCACAAGGACAAGGTGCTGGTACATTTAATATTGGACCATCATCTGGAATTGTTAAATTAGCTAAAGAATTAGATTTTGAAGATTTACGTCAACCACATGTTTATTCATTAATAGTTACGGCCACTGAAGATTCAGGCGGTTTTTCAACTTCTGTTGAGGTAAATAGTTTTTCATTGATAGATTACAGAATAAAATTCTTAATCGAAAAATAATTATTTTGATTTTTAGTTAACTATTCGAGTAACAGATGTTAATGATAACGCACCAAAATTTGAGTTACCAGATTATCAAGCACATAATGTTGACGAAGATATTCCTTTGGGTACTAGTATCCTGAAAGTAAAAGCTATGGATTCTGATTCGGGTGCTAATGCTGAAATTGAATATCTTGTATCTGATGATCATTTTGCAGTTGATTCAAATGGAATTATTGTTAATAATAAACAATTGGATGCTGATAATAATAATGCATATTATGAATTTATAGTAACAGCAAAAGATAAAGGTGAACCATCAAAAAGTGGTACAGCAACTGTAAGAGTTTATACAAAAAATAAAAATGACGAAGAACCAAAATTCTCACAACAAGTCTATACACCAAATGTCGATGAAAATGCTGGACCAAATACACTTGTAACAACAGTTGTTGCATCCGATAAAGATGGTGATAATGTACGTTTCGGTTTTGTTGGTGGTGGTACAAATGCTGGACAATTTGTTATTGAAGATATTACCGGTGTAATACGATTACATAATAAAGCTATAACATTAGATCGTGATAAATATGAATTGAATGTAACTGCTATGGATGATGGATCATGTTGTGTTAATGGTGACCAAACAATTCATACATCAACGGCTGTTGTTGTTGTTTTTATAACGGATGTTAATGATAATAAACCAGTTTTCAAAGATTGTGGCACTTACTATCCAAAAGTTGAAGAAGGTGCACCAAATGGAAGTCCTGTAATTAAAGTACAAGCTACTGATGAGGATAAAGGTGTAAATGGACAGGTAAAAAAAAAATTTTTGTTTCTTTTTCCTTAAAGGTTATTAATTTAATTAATTTATACTAGAATCCTTAAAAGCTATAAATAAATTATTGTTTAGATGGTGTCATTTTGAACACAATTAATTGGTAAAACATTAGGTTAGAACACCTAATCATAATAAAGTCGCTCAAGCATAAGATACATCGTAAAAAGGTTCTATAGTTAAAAAAAATAAATAAAAGAATAAAATAGCTAATTAATCCTTAATGAAGTGGAAGTGTTGAATGGATAAATAGATCGTAAAAAAAATAAAAAAAAAAAATGCGAACATTAAGGATCAATTTTGTTATATTATTTAAAAATCTACCTGGATTTTCAATAAACACAGAAAATATTAGGTGAATTTTAAAAGAAAGGAAAGAAGAAATATAAGGACATAAAATTATATTGTGAAAAATTAAAATTTTTTATAGGCACTTCGTCATTTGACTTATAATATTTTGCATTTTACTAAATCAAGGGTGATTTTCCCCTTTGCCAGTTTTTTGGTTTATATGGTTTATTGCCTTTTATTATAAAACAGAATTAGAAAAAAATTTTATTCGACATTAAATTAAAAAAAATTATGCTTTGTTCGGAACCATAAATAGCAATAACCGTACTCATAAAAAATATTCACTATATAGACCAATTTGTGGCATAAAATACTTTATATCTAACTAATGAAAGTTGTTTTTCTTGACATGATGTTGTTCTTTAATAATTTAGGAGCACGGAATTCTATACTTTTAATAATTGAATCGATTCATTTAGTTGATTTTTATTTCAAATATGAAAATTATTTAATATCTAATGTACTTTAATTAGGTGAAATATTCTATTGTACAACAACCAAATCAAAAAGGTACAAAATTCACTGTTGATGAAGAAACTGGTGAAGTATCAACAAATAAAGTATTCGATCGTGAGGGTGATGACGGTAAATTTGTATCAGTAACAGTTAAAGCAACAGATCAAGGTGAACCAAGTTTAGAAGGTGTATGCTCATTTACAGTCGAAATTACTGATGTTAATGATAATCCACCATTATTCGATAGACAGGTAAATAACTAAAATAATTTATAAAAAAATCAAATTAACAAATAAATTTGTAAATTTTTCTAATTTTAGAAATATGTTGAAAATGTTAAACAAGATGCAAGTATTGGTACAAATATATTACGTGTTTCAGCATCCGATGAAGATGCTGATAATAATGGAGCAATTGTATACAGTTTAAGTGCACCATACAATCATAATGATCTTGAATATTTTGATATTCAAGCTGAATCTGGTTGGATTGTGTTAAAGAAACCTCTTGACGTAAGTACCTTTCTAAAATTTTTTCCCGTCAATTAATTTTTTTTGCTAAATAAAAGCATTAAATAAATTATTATTTTATTATTGAAAATATTTTTGATTTCTATATTTTAAAAAAAAAATATATATTTTTATTTTTCGAATCTTATCATTTGAATTCAATTTTTAATTTGATTTTCATTTATTACTAACATTAATATATAAAATAATTGGAATTACATAATTATCATTAAGGGTTTTTGGGTATAAATTAATTTTTATTTATTTATGGTTTATGGTTATTTAATTAACCATAAATGAAGAAATAAATATAATTTTAAAGAGAATTAAAATATAACTTACAATATAGATAGGTGTTGTTGGGTGAATGGAAGAATGTTTCAATAATAAATTGAAAATTTAGTAAATATTTAATTATTTTCACTTTGTTTTTTTTTTCTAATTCAATTATTCTTTTCTTTTAATTTAATTACAAAAAAGACAAAAATATTAAAATTAAATTCAAAATTATTAATTAAAATCGAAAAATAAATTATCTTATGTATATAATTATCAATAATAAAATGGCTGCCGCAGAAGCTACTAATTTTATATTTAATTCAAGAAGAAAAAAAAATAAAATCTTTTATTTTTTAAATAACTTATAAAATTAACTTTTAACAACTTTTTCGAAACAGAAAACAATAGTAATATTGTTCAAATACTAATTTATTAGAAGGCAAAGTAGAAGCATATTAAAATCGTTATTCAACAAAAAAAAAGTAAAATATTTTAGGTCATTGATTAAAAATAATAGTTTGATTAATTTCAGAATAAAAAAGTTTTTATTTAAATGATAAAAACACAATCAGAACGAAAATTACTTTGCTTATTAATTTTTTTTCTTTTGTTTAAATGCACAATTTTAGAAATTATTTTATTTTTTATTTATATTAAGTTTGCCTCCATTAATTTATAAATTATCGTATTAAACAGCAGCAAGTGAAAAAAGTACATAACAGTTAATATTATCGTAATTTTAAATACAGTTTTGTTTTTCAAGTAAATGAAAAGGTTTAGATTCAATTTTAAAATGCAAATATGTACAATATTCGCAAATATACAATATTCGCAAAATAAATCATGTACAAATTAAACATTCCTAATAAATTTCATTTTATTGATTATCGAAAACTAATATAATTTTGAAAGGTTTTGTCAACTACATTTCTTGTTAAAACCCCAACAACAATTAGGCGCAAGTTTGAAAAACTAAATTTAATTTCAATGAAGTCAAGTTCTTTGCCAAATTCCAAATGGAATTACGAATACGAACTCCGACTGTCTGTATTATAAATTCGAAACCAAAAATTTTTGAAGTTGCGATCAAATAACTTAATTTAAAATTACGATAAATATTAACGACAAATAAAACTAAAAAAAATGTGATATATATGTATATATACAGGAAAAGTTCGTTTTGTGTTTTTAGCATTCTAAATTTTTGGCTCATGACATTGTTTTATCAAAATTCAAAGATATTTTCAAAATATACTTAAATATTTTAATTTGTAAATTAAATTTTATTTACAAATTAAGTAAAAATTTTTATATTATGTGCTTTAATTACTAAAAATGGAAAATTCTACAAATATACAAAAATTTCTATAAACACGAGATCATTAAGAAAAATATATTCTTATAAAATATTTTAAGAGCCTGAGTTAAACATAAAGCGAGACTATTCCGTATTTAAAATATTTAATTATCAATTATATTAAAATCAATCAAAAAAACAATTGATTTTAAAATTTATTTTTGATTTAATTTTGAAAATATTATTTTAGTTTTATATATTGATTTTTGTTGTTGAAACAATTGGAATAGTATAAAACCAAATTATAATTGAATTGGTGTATATTATTAAAAAATTTAATATAATATTATATAAAACATAATTAAGTTATACTCAGCACTAAAACAGTTTCTGTAATTCTATATTGTATTTTCATTTTGATATTAAACACTAGATGAATATAAAAAAATAGAATGTATTGATATTACTTGAATTATTAAAAAATATACCTACTATAAAGAAGTATCCTTAAATAAGATTTAATTATATTTATAAACTACTTTTTTTTAAAGCAACATAGGTACTGTAAAAGAAATTATGCGCTCCTAATTATTTTTGTTGCGGGAATTGTTCTAGAACAATTAATTTTTTGGTAAAGTTGACAAGAAGGATTATTAAATAGATACAATGCTTTTTTGATATTTTTGTTTAATTTCATTAAGTAAATAGTATTTGAAATACTAGATTTCTACCTATCAATTTATCCATTTTTGTCCAGTCAACTGATTAAATTCATAAATTCTATAGTAAGTGAATTAAATACTATAGCAAAAAACTCAAATTGAATTTCTACATTTTTCAGCCAAACGTAATATTATTTTTAAGGTTTAAAACAATCAATTTAAAGTATGTAGGTACCTAGGTAGATAAATAGACCATATTATTTTCAATAACTACTTACATAGAAAAATCAAATTAAGAAAAAATAGCTTACTTTCAATTTTAATATATTCCTTTTTTTTGTGCCATTACTTATTCCCGTTACCATATTATGGTTATGATTTAAAATCTTTGAAAAAGACATTACCCATATTATCCATAGTATTCTTAAAAATTAGCCACGTTTTTTAATAGCCATTTGAGAGGTATTGTAATTGTCCGTTGATTGAGCTTCAAATCGTTTAAAATTATAACCTAAAAGATTAAGAAAAATTATCATAGTTCTTTATAATACCTAATTAGTAAGGTAAGCAAAATTGAATATTATAACATAACAAAGAAATTTCATAACGAATTCCAAATTTTATTTACATATTTTTTGTCAATTCATGTCAGAAAATTTCTGTAGTCATACCAACCTTTTATATGAATACCCTTCCAATTATATTTTGAAAATTTTTAAAACCAAAGCATTTTATGACCTAAAAAATTATGTCCTGAAGGTTTTTTTAAATTTTAATCAAAATAAAATTTAATTTTCCAGGATATTTTACATCCTTTGAAATTGTGGCAGTTTTATTTACAGATAATAATTGATATTGAACATTTTTAACTTGTTTAATAAAATCAAACATCGACCATTGACATATTGTGCTAATTTCAGAAAAGTGTTGCCACATTATATCAAAATTTAGTTAGTCTATTATTACATCAGCTTATTTATATCAAGATCACATAAGGATCATATTTAGTGTCAAAGAGAATATTGTAAAAGGAAAATTGTTATTACAATATTTTATGATTTCTAAGCTGCTAATAAAGCAAAAACTAATGCATCTTTCTGTTTAGGTTCGGCAAAATTATTGATGTTCTGACGTATATATTTTATAAGTTTGGAAGAGAAATGTAAATTTTTCCTATTGTGTGACGACATAAATATATTTCATATCTTAATAGTATTCATTGGAAGTCAATGCATAATCTAGAAACCTAAAAAAAATATTATATTGGCTGAATAAATTAAATACACCTGTTATCTATACTTTTTGATGACAGTTTAATCATATAAATTTTATGACATTCATGCTGATTATTTCAATGTCAGTTAATTTATCAAATCAGCTCATTTTGAGCTCATTAAAGTGTCAAAAGAATAATAAACTTTAAAAAAAAATTTTTTTTGTGTGAACATTTAAATTTTTGTTTTTTAATTTGATAAATTACATAATATATTACGATTTATACTAAAAAAAAAATAACAAAATATTTTTATGTATATTTACTCTATATTGTTTTTTATTTATGTATATATATTATAATCATTATTTAACTTACTTCTATACGCATACATAATTAATATTTAGAAAATAAAATATTTAAAAACAATATTGTTTCACAATACTGTTGTATACTTTTGTATTTAACTATTTGATTGATGCGGCGGCACATTTTTATTTTTTTTTTTCAAGAAAATAGTATATTATATTATTAATTTGATTGAAAATAAATTGCACTACATTTATATATATTTTATAGCTACATATAAATCTATATATATATTTTTTTTATTTTAAAAAAGAGGAAGAAAATTAAATGTAAGATTACATTTGAAAAAAAATTTTTTTTAGTATAATTTTGTTTTTTAAATATTTTTTTTTTTAATTTTTATATTATAATTTTAAAATGGTGGCAGGATTTTATTTTTGGGTTTGGTTTTGGATTAATAAATATAACACACATGTGAAAGAATTAATTTTATAGATTAGGAAAAAAATTTTACATATAATTATTTTTATAAATATTTAATACGTTATCTAAAAGAATTGTTCAATTAAAAGTATATTTGATCAAAGAAATGTAATTGCTACTGTGCAAGGTTTGTGTCTATAATTAAATTTTTTATATGTAAACACGGTTTGACATCAGATTTTGTCTTATATAATAAAAGTTACTAAATTCTCTTTTTTATTTTATTGTCAGATGTTATTGTTTCTTTGACCTTATCCTAGTATACTGTCAAATTTTCTAAAAAGTAAAATGGCGGCAATTAATTTTTTTTTTGTAAAAGTGAGAAACAGCAATCAGCTGATTTTTGTTTTGGTTTTGGTTTACGAAAAGTAGCAAATTTTACTTATGCAATAGATGTTTTAACTCGCTGACTAAAAATAATTTGACACTTCAAATTATTTGTCTAATACTTTATATTCCAATAAATCTAATAAATAGTATTCTTATGGAGAATTTTACTTCCCAATTGAAAAGAAAAACTAGCTGACAATAATTAATATAAATTCATTTTTTTGGTCAAATACTTTTTAATTTTAACAATTTTTATTTAATTTAATTAGTTATTCTATTTTTGATAGAAAATTTTTGAGAACTTTCAACTAAATTAATAAAATATTTTTGAACAAAATAAATTAAAAAAAATTAATATATTTTAAGCAGCACAACAACAACAAGAAAAAAAAAGAATATTTAAAAAATTAATAAAAACAATTTTAAATTTTTGATTTTTTGTATATAAAAAAAAAGTTATAAATGTCAAAATTTGTTAATCATTTTTTTCAAATTTAAATATAAAATAATTAGACATAACCGTAATAGTTTTTCTTTGTTTGTTAAATAAATATTTAATTCTTACATACATATACATATTAGATAATTTTCTATTTTTAATTTAATTAATATTATATTAATATACAAGAAAATACATTTTAAAAGGTGACATTTTCGTAACGTGTCTGGGGCTTGTTACGATGGCGACCAAAATCAAAAGAAATGTGTACTCAGTTCTATTTCAATTCCTCCTATACCGTACATGAAACGATTACCAGAATTTTTGAAAATCGTTTCGAAATTTTGATATTTTTAATAATATAATGGCGATTAAAAAAAAAAAATTAGAATAAAAATAAAAAAAAAAATATTTTAAAAATTTGTATTTTTTTTTTCATTATCATTTAATTTCAAATTTTTACAAGCATATTTTATATTTTAATTTTGTTAATTTCGTTTACTATAGTTATTTCATATATAATATTTGTTTATTACACTAAAATTTTCTATATATATATATGTATATATATGCATAGTTGTATAGGTGTTATTTCATGAAAAGAAGTTTTTTTTTTAAATAAATTTTGAATAAGAAAATTGCATTTTGTGTTTTAGAATATCCAAACCAAACATTAAGAAATCAAATTTTTTTAACAGATCAAAAATTAAAATTAAATTTTGCTTTTAGTTCTTAAGAAAATTGAAAAAAAAAAACAAAAATAAAGTATTAAGTAAATTTAAAGTTAAATAAATTTTTCAAAGATATTTTAAAAAATTAAAGGTTTAAACTTTATTGTAGCCAGTAATTTAAGATTTTGACGAAAAACTGATTGACAATTAGTATTACACAAATTCTCTTCCAAATAACTTATGTAAACACTCGGTGAGACTCATAAATTTGTCAAACAGACAAAAGAATTTTGTTAGCTGTATAATTGATGTTATTAAATGAACCTGATTAAATGCCTTAAGTGAGCTGTTAAATGAAATAAAACAAAATTATAATAACACAATATTATAATAAAATATAGACATACATATATACCAATTTATGTCCAAAATTTTATTGTTTGTTCGATATTCAATCTTATGCGTGTAACAGAAAATAATATTTTATTTGAAAAATATAAAATCCATATTTAAATGGCATTTCTTTAAACACATGTAACTAGTGGTAAATATTAGCTAGTGGTATATAGTGGAATTTAATTAAAAATTTTTGTTTCTGAAATAGTTTTGTAATAATGCCATATAAAATAGATAATATGATTTTGTAGCTATGCTATATTCAGAAGTTGGTGCACTAAAGTAAAATGTACTGTTAAAGTAAATTGGAAACAAAATTACTTTATGCTGTTATGTCAAAAACGCTTGTAAAAGAGCAGCTTATCGGCTTTTATTTTATATATTTATATACATACAACGAAAATTTTACAACTCGAAATAAATCCAAATTAACTCAAAAATTAACTTAACGTAAAGTTGACTTATTCAACAATACCTTTTTTTATTGCTAAATATGTCAAATTGACGTTAGATCTGCATTCATATTGTGTTTACTCAAAAAACATCAATGTTAACTATATTAGTATTCTATTAACATAAGTTATATGTTATAAAATAGATTTTTAAAGAATATAACACATTATTATAAAAGTATAAATTTATTACAATGATCAATATACGTTATAACAATATTTATATTTTAAGTATAGGTATATAGAGTAAATTTTATTTAAAGAGAATTTTAAATAACTGAATTTGACTTTACAACTGATTTAAATTTACTTAATACAAGTAAAGTTTTTTCTAATAATATCAGAATATATTTTATGTATATTACAAATACAACAAATATAACATATTGTATAATATGATATAAATTTATTTTTTCAAAATTGCATGGTGTGATATTTATTTGCCTGTGTTGTAAAAACTTTTTAATTTATAAAACAAAATTTATAAGAAAAAATACAATTTTAAAATAATATTCTTTTAAATAATTTTTATTATTTTAATTTTTAAAATAGAGTTTTTTATTTAAATGCACAATATTTTTACTTTAATTTTTTATTTTTAAATATTTTGTTAATAAATATAAGAAAAAATTTAACAAATTGCAAAAAAAAAATATGGTAAATTATTTTAATTCTTTTTTAATTAATTTTTTTTTATTTATTTTTGAATATTTGATACAAAACTGAACAAAAATTTCGTGGATTTTTAAAACTCAAAAAACAACAACAAAAAAAAAATATATTGAATCGAATCTCAAAATATCGAAAAACTAAACCAAAAATAAAAATGGTTTTTGAATAAACCAAAATAAAGGGATGCTACCCTGTAAGTAAACAAAACTAAGAAATTATACTTACTGTTATATACTCTCATAGAATATGTATAGAGACATATCGCTAATATTCCAATTGAATATTCCGGTTTCGTAATAAAAATAGCAATTAATTTTCATCATACACGTTTGTTATTAAATTTTAGAAAATATGTATTTTTTAAAAATGTTATAATAAAAAATTTATTGCTAGATTTAAAAATTAAACATTTTCGAAAATGACAGCAACGTGTCAAAAATGACATGTATGCTACATTCAAACATATTGTACATTCGTGCATATGTTTGAGTAGTGAGTAAAATTTTGTCTGTGGTAGCCAAAATCGTTAAACTTTTTATATTTTTATTATTTGTTTTTATTTGTAATTAAAAAAAACTTATTAATTTCATACATATATATATATATATAATATATATATATATATAATATATATATATATATATATATATATATATATATATATATTTATATATATATATATACTATATATACTATATATAGTATATATATATACTACATATACTATATATAGTATATATATATATATATATATATAATATATATATATATTATATATTTATTTATGAAAATTTTAGATTTTGAAAAATTCTTCGTTTTTCAATTAATTGAGTTCTTTATTTAAATTTAAGCTGTAAATTAAAGATTAATATAGTTTAAATGAAAAGAAAAATAGGCTGTCTACTTAAATATAGATTTATTATCAAATTGCCTTATTCAGCAATATATCTTTATCCAACCATTTTAATATTATTCAACTCTGCATTGACATTTGTTATTGTCATACTCCATTAAGTAAAAATCTAAAAGTGACTTAAAGAATCATTATAAATTCTCAAATTAACCGTATATGTACAAAGAATCAACCTGAGCTATAATATTATAATTTGTGTAGATCGAACGCCAAAAAGTATTTTAAGGTTTTTAAAGTTTTTGATGAACCAATTCAATATCAATGGTTAATTTATAAAATAATTTCTATTTTTTAATTTTTTTTTTTTGCAAATTTTACTCCAGTTTCAAATATACGCCTCCAATTATTCTTACTGGATTTATTTGAGCTCGTTAATAATTATATTATATAGTTTTTCTTTCTTAAGAAATGTTAAATGCAATATTTATGCTAGTTTATTAATAAAATGTTTAAGTGAAGTGCTTTTTTTAAATAATAATTATAAATATTTTTTCATGTGTATCTATTACAATATTTAAATAAAAATAAGAAATCAAAAATAATTAATTTTATTAGTATTTGTATTCATTTAATTAAAACTTAGTTATTAAAATATTTAATTTTTCCTTTTTTATTAAAATATTAATTTTTTTTATTTTATTTTTATTATTTTACATTTAACAAAAAAAAAAAACAATTTAAATAAATCAACTTAAAATATCGAACAACTTAAAAATAATCAAAAATCGCCAACAATCGTTTTAATCATGAAAAATTGAAAACTATTGAATTTATATAAAAACCGTTAAAAAACATATTTCGTTACATTTTTCAAAAATGCAAAAAATTCAATTTAATTTTCCACCATATGGTGAAATAAAACATTTTTTCAACGAATCATAATAATAAATGTTATTCGCTGCAATCAACTTGTAACGTTTAATTAATTTAAAACGAAAATTCACCATCTTATAATGTAAAATTATATGTTGAATAAATACACCATATCGTACATGATATATAATAAATTTTTACGATTTAAAAAAAAAAAAAATCAACCATGTTTTATGAACAACGAAATAATATAAACGATAAAACACAAAAAAAAAAAAATAAAATTGTGTCTTCGCTAATAATGAAAATATTAACGAAACTTTCGTTATACATATAACGGTTAAAATTATGTGAAAAATTGTTCTAAAAATCATAAGCAGCGTGATAGATATCGTTTGAGGGTTCGTGCCTCTGATAAAGGTGAACCACCATCATATGCAGATGTTGATGTTGAATTAGATGTTGTTGATCGTAATAATAAACCACCAATTTGGGACAAAAACATTTATGGCCCCATTCACATTAAAGAAAATGTCACTGTTGGTACGGTTGTAACATCGATTAAGGCAAGGTTTGTATAACAGTATAAATTGTATAAAATTATTAAAGTAATAATAATTTTCCCAAAATTTTTTTTGTAATTCCGAAAATATTTTTTTTAATACCAAAAAAAAAATCTTATATGGTGTTTTTATTCACTAAAAAAAAAGAGAAACAAAAAAAAAGAATTTTAATATAAACTGTATTACCTAAATTTGGGCGAATTTATAAATTGTTATATAACATAATTATTAATACTTTCGTACTCATTTTTTTGGAAAGTATAAATAATAATTATTTAGTTATTATTCACAATAGTATTCGAAATTGAAAATAAATAAAATTTTTATTATTTTCAATATCTTCAAATATAATAATAATATTTAACGGAAAATTGATAACTGTATAAATGTATAAATTTTTTGAATATAACAGTAATAAATAATAAATAACTATTTATATAAAATAATTACTAATATGGTGAATTTATATACATATTAATTACTAATGATGACATATTAATTTTTACGCAAATAAAAATGATTTTTTTTTCAACAATATTTTTGAGAATTTTTTGAAATATAAGAAACGGAATTGTTTTTTGAATTTTGTCGAACAATAAAACAAAAGAAGACAAAAAATGGTTTTTTGTGTCTTAAGTACCCGTTATCCTATTTATAACATTTAATGAATAATTAATTTAATTTATTTTTTTCATGCTAAACCAATGCAAAAGTGTAGGAGTATCTATATTAAAAAGTTTCATTAACAAATTATATTTTATTTAAGGAAAATTTTTAAATATTAAGCACAGTATTATAAATTTTCTGCTCTATACAATTTTTGTTTATCATTATTATATTGTTTTCTTTAAATAATTATTGACTTTTGTGGATTATGACCTTAATTTCTTTTTCACAAATACTTACTTTTTATTTTATAATAAATAATTATTAGGCAAATTAAATTGGATTTTTAAAGGTAATTGAATTAATAATAATTATATTTAAAAATTATTTATATATTTATAAATTATATTACATAAAATAAAAATATTCGTAATAAAAAGATTTTATATGGCACAAATTTCTTTAAATTTTTTTTTTTTCAATATAATAATATTTACTTATATAATTTATTTGTTTATTTTTAGTAATAATTTTATTTTAATGTATAAATATTCTATGTATATAAATTATGCTATGTATTTAAAAAAAAAAATTATTTTTTTTTTTTTTTGTATTAATTTTATGCAATTATTTACGGTAATTCTAAATCCAATTCGATTTACACCGAATTTTGACTCTCACTCATAATGTGAACACTTTTTTGACTCTAAAAATTTTAAGGCTTTAGTTTACAACTCTTTGACAATAATTTGCTATTTCGAAAGTCATTCAGCAAAATCAATATTTTGCTGAGTTTATTCTTTGGAAATTTTTTATATTTTTTATAATATTTTTCAGTAGTTCTAATTGTAATATCTGTGTGAAGTAGACATTAATGGCAAATGTCTAATGAAATTTACAAAAGTACTTTTAAATTGTTACGTGTCCGATTACGTGTTACGTATAATTTGAATAATATATAATTTCAGTATACAATTCAAAACAATATATAATATTAAATAATTGCATAAAATTTCAATATGAATGTAGAATGCTTTAATATTATATTTTAAGAAAATCGTATATTTATGTATGTTTGTCTTATATACTATATTTAATTTTAATTTTTTATTTTATTAATAATATTGAATAATATCAATTTATTATATAATATTATAATATAATAACTGTTATAATATTATAAAAATACAATAATATTCACAATTTAGTAAAAATTTTAATTGAAGTAAATTTTATATTTTTATTTTTTATTTTGTTTATTAACAACATTATATGTATATAGGTTTTCCTCGACTAAAACTAATGCTTGACGCAATGAATTTCATAGGAATAAAATTTTCCGTGTAAAAAAATTCTGATTAATTTTTTATAATTTTGGAGTTATATATAAGTATAAGATGTTAATGATTCTCGAAGAATTCTTGCAACTTTTAACTCTAAGCATTATTTTTGGTTGTGGAAGGCCAGTATATGTATATAAGATATTGTTATATTAAAATATATAGTAACTAGTATAATATTTTATATAATATGTATACATATAAGCGTTAAGCAACATAACGTACATTATTGTTATTCTAATGTAAATTGCTGCATTATATTATTCAAATTTAATAACAATAAATTATAAAAAAAAAGACTCTAAAAAAGCTTGAAAGCTCTCCCATATCTAATTTTTATTATTAAAAAATAATTTATTTAAATTTTTTTTTGAAAATGTTTCAAATTGAATTTTGATTAGAAAGAATATAAAATTAATTTAAAATTAAAAAAAAACAAATTATTTTGTAATAATTGGGCATGTGATATTTTTATATAAAAATACCTTATGAGGCTTTTTAGGGGATTTAAATTACATATAGGACAGGTTATGGGATAAAATGCCACCACCATCATATTTTCAAATTTTTTTTATAGTTTTTTTTTTTTATTTTCTAATATTTTCATTGAATAAAAATGATTTTGATTTCCACAACTTTCATTTAAAAAAAAAAAAAAAATTTTGTTTCTTTCATTTATCATTTTTTGTTTCTTGGGTCTGATGATGAAGTGTGATATTTTTTTGTAATATAATTTAAGTGATAACAGTGTAGAGGAGCATATATTTATTATATAACAGTTTAAACTTACATACATATGTACATGTAAATAAAATAAAAAAATTTGTCATGTCAACTATGAAATTATTAAAAATAAATTTTAAATTAAAAGTATAAATTTACGTTTGATAAAATCAATTCGATAAAGGCATACAAAAGCTGATAAATCATAATTAATATTTCTTTATTTATTTTCGGGCATTGATATTTTAGACTTTCCGGATTCGGTTCTCTAATTTTATTAATATACATACATACATAACGCATTTTTTGGAAAAATGTCCTATAAATAAATAAATTTCATTCAAAAAGGAAAGGAAATTCAGTATTCCAAATTTTGATTTTCCGAATTTTTTTTTTTCGATGTTTTGTAATAATTACAAATTATTATTTTAAATTATTTAAAATTATTAATTAAATTAAATTACACTTTAAGTAATTATAAAAAAATGAATTTTCGAAAAATTTCTTTAGCTTAAATTCTATCAAGCCGTGAGTAAAAGAGAAATTTTCTGTTATTGCTATATGCTGGAAGTATTGGATATTCATATATAGTTCTAACTCAATCATAATCTCAATCAACATCAAATATAAATCAACATCAATTTCTGAGAGAGAAAAACTTAAATTTTCATTGTAAGATCTGTTTTATCAAATATTTGCTCTTCAAATTATTTAAACTGCTCACAATACAAACTCAAATTGCTTATTAAAGCATAAATAATTAAAAATAGCAATTTTATTGCGTGTTCAGATTTATCAGCACTTTACATTCATCAACACTTAATATTTATGTATACATACATGTAACATGAATATAAAATTTTATTACCGTTAACGTTTAATATGCTCTCTTATATGTACATGTGTATGTATTTTATACTCAAAAAAAAATTTTATTGAGTGTAATATTTTTTTAATAACAAGGATATTTTTTTTTTTTTGCGAGACCCCGTTTGGTGTTGGATCTGTTTTCATTTTTTTTTTATTTTTGAATTATTTTACTAAAAAAAAAAAACAAAAAAATAACAACATTTTTAATTTTTTAACAATTTTGTTTTTAAGAGTATTTCCTTTTTTTTTCTTTTTTGTTTTATTTTTGTCTTCGAAATATTTTCAATATAAAAAATAAATTTAAAACAAAAAAAAATAGAATAAAATAAAATTTGATTTTTGATTATAAATAAACTTATTTTGTGTTTTTTATTTTTTTCTCTCATTTTCCAAATATATAATGAAAAAAAAAACAATTTTTAAATATTTGCAAAAAAAAAAAAAACAATAACGCGCCAATACAACCTATATTTTCGTATGTGTGTGTGTGTGTTATCGCTTTACAATCAATATAAATTTATCTATGAAAAAAAAAAATTATAACCGGCTAATAACAAAAAATTGCATGAACTTTTAAATGCTGAATTTACTGACATCTATTATATTGATGGATCTACAATAAATTGCTGGCTTTCTCAAATAATTTTTTTTGTTATTTTTGAAAAAAAAAAAAAAAAAAAACAAAATTTGACAATGTGCGCGACTCGAAAACGTACTTCGACCAATTTAAACTACCAATAACGAAAAAAAAAAAAATTTAAAAATTTACAAAAATTTTGTAAAAAATAAAAAATTTAAATATAAATATAAAATATAGCGTGAAACATATAAATTAGAAGCAATGGCACAAGATAAAGGTTATCCGCCATTGTCAAGAACGGTTGAAGTACAAATCGATGTTGTCGATAGAGCTAATAATCCACCAGTATGGGACCATACTGTATATGGGCCTATTTATGTGAAGGAAAATATGCCAGTTGGTGGAAAAGTCGTCTCAATTAAAGCCAGGTCTGTTGTGAATTTTTTGAATTTATTAATAAAAATTAATAATAAAAAAAAAAAATAAAATCAAAACAAAATTTAAAGAATATTTTTAAGGTGAATAAATTTTTTTTCAATAATTTTTTTTTTTTTAAATTAATATTATTGTTGATATTTTTAAGAAAATGTAAAGATTATAAAAGGGAAAAATAAAATTAATTTGAAAATTTTTTTTTTACTAGACTGGAACTAAAAATTAATATTCACTCTTATTGTAAAAAAAAAAAATTTTTTTTTTTTTTTTTGATATTTTAATTTAAATATTAAATATTTAAATTTTTGTTTTGTAAATATTAAAATTTTTGCATTTAAAGAGTTTAGTTTTTGTTTTAAAAATTTTTGCTGTGTTTTCTTTTTTGAAATTTTCTTTTTTTTTTATTAATTTTTAAGCATCGATATAATAATAAACTATATACTTACATATTATT